TTTTATTATGAGCGATTAGAATTTATTATGCTGCATCATATATAAAACTAAATTTAAATTGTGATATGTCATGCTTCTAAATAACGATAAATAAAGTTAAATTTAAATGTGCAATATGCCATATACTTTTAAGTAACGGTAAATAAAGTTAAATTTAAAGTGCGATATGTCATATACTACTAATTGACAATTTCAATATTATGATTAGATTTTTTTTGCCTATGCTCTTATCCTACACCCGGAACCCTATTGTCTGGACTTAAGTTCCTCCGATCTGCTCCGGAAATTAGTATTTCTGTTTCGTCATTGACGAATTGACGAAACTATATGAGTGCCGTCAAAAGAAAACCTGGAATCGGGCTTTCAATGTACAGTTGACTTTCTGCATGCCGTCTATGGACAATCTTTCACCGGAATTTCTGTTATATTTGGTGCCGGACTGGGGTGTTAGATACTATTTACTATCCTAGTGTAGTGACCCACTATGTAAGATTTTTAAAATTTTGTCGATCAATTTGTTAATAAAAAAAGAAGCCGGCCGGGTCATTTTAAAATTTTATTTTATGAGAAACAAAGAATTAATTTTGTATGGCCTAATGTTTTTAAAAAAGTAGTTTATTATTTTATAAATTTACAAATGTATATTGAAATTAATTTATTCTTATAAATTTATCTATTCTACAGTATTTACAATTTTGAGAACTTTCCTCTTCTGTTTATCAACAAATCTTGATCAATATGACAATATGAATTATTACTACGTCTAAACTTAGATTCGGAATATATGGATTAACAAAAAACACAAAAACGAATGAATACAAGTTGGTATTTCAATATGCTGACAATGAAAGCCTTTGTAAGTATTTAAGGAAAAATTTTCAAGATCTTACCTGGAGGCTTAAGAATACAGTATTTGAAGATATCAATTTCATTATTTAAGATTCATTCATGCGGACTTTCGCAATAATATAAATATTATAGCGATAATGGATTTATATATCAGACTTGAAAATTCAAAGTCTCGACTTTTATGGCGTCTTAATTATTTACTCACGGGATTTATGGCGCTGTTTTATCTTTATTTTCGGAAATGTCACTTTTCGTCTGTAAAAATGCAATATAAAAGCTTAAAGAAAATGAAACATTATACAAGAGCATGGATGAGTGAAATAAAAATATTTTTTACTACGTAGCGATAAAATTAAAAATAGCTTTGATTAGTAAAATTTGCGTTTTTAAGACTACCTAAAATTACAGCTTATACAATTTATGTACGTACCAAAACTGGCCAAATTTATTAGTCGCACCTTCTGAAAACAAATTAATTTAAAACTTTTATAATAAATTTCATTAAGAAAATATTCTTTTGCAATACGTAGAAAGGAATCAAACTGCTCCTGGAAATCAATAATATTTTGTAAGATTCGGGTAAATTTCGGGTAAATTTCGGCGCGAAATCGATTGGCAAAAAAAATTGATTGATTATCAAAAACATATTTTTTAGACTCTTTCTATTACAAAGGCCCCACACTTTATGCCGTTTTATAATTGTATCTTTATTTAGATAATAATTATGATGAACTGATTGTAATTACGTAGTGTTTTTTGATGATTTTGGCGGTGTTACGGGGTGAATTGTATCCTTTTTATAAGGTTTACACGAAAATATAATATTTTATGATATAAGGCAACTCGCCAGAGGCGTGACGTTGGTGATTTGGTTAATAATTTACTTTATTAAAAGAGTTTATCAGGGAATTTATTAAATGTATTGTGAAGGATTTATTGGAATCCCGTAGGATGATGATTTTAAGAAAGACGAAATGCTAGAGCTTTTATAGCTTAAGCGAGTATAAAGGGTTCAAGGGGCTTAGGAATAACTCACTAATTACATCTTTTAACGAATTTAAGGGAACTAGTACTAAGCTAAGGGGCTTACAATGATAGTTTACAACATTATTATTACAAAAGAAAGGCTTTGCTTCACTCAGTACAACTATTTGCCTTTACAGCCACTTTCACTATATCCTAATCTCGATATTCGGTCTTCTTTCATTTCTTCTTACGCGTCTCTTGTTCCTCGGATTTCACGCTGGTTGTTGTTCATCTTATTCGGCCGATAAGCCTCAACCGATAAACCAGTATTTCTTGAATCCATTGCTTTAATCACGGGTTTGCTGTGCCTAATCTTGTAGATCCTTCATTTTAGCCCGTGACAGCGGTTATGCTACGTAGGAGGATTAAGTGTAACGATTATATATAAATGGGTTTCTTTTTTGAAATAAAATCAAGTATACATAGCAAGTTACATATTATAAGTTCTGATAAGATAAGTTTCATTATCATTTATTGGATCGAGTATATATGCTTTCGATTACGCCTTATACTGTACAATGCCTTGCTGATTAGCATTTAGGTGGTACTCATATGACAATAGATCAATACAAAAAAAATTAAAAACTGAAACTGCAATAACTTAACAATTCAACTTTGTTTTTGCCACATGACATGCATTGAGGATTTCTATTGGTTGATATATTAAAAAAATAAAAAATTTGGACTCCTGCTCTGCTGACCCGCCCGGGAAATGAAAACCGATTATATAAGTTTGTATAGCCTAATCATAAATATTTGTTATTACGCGGCTTCTAATTTAATTGTTCACCCATGACTTTTTTTTCACAGTCAATATTTTCATGACTGATATATTTTCTAAAATTTTATTCACCAAGAAAAACCAAGAAAAACCTGTGAAATCGACAGCTATAAAGCCATGGGTTAGGAACAGTGTAATAGGTCAGTTATTACGAGTTGCTTGATTTGGTTTGGATTGATGCAGGATCTGCATATATTGATTTAGATTAAACCAAAACAAACTAAATCAAAATTCCCATCTCTAGTTATTACACGTATTAGTCATCGACATCATTAAACATCCCGAATCAGTCTCTAGAAATCATTGACATATGCGGTCACATAAAAATGTGACTAATTTTTGCTAATTTTAGACCATTTATGTGATTACGTAGTACGGTGCGGGAAATCTAAAAACCACAAGCACTTTGTATAGAATAAAGGTCAACTAACTCATGAGAAGTGATCTAAATATGCCATTCTTAATAGCTGCTTATTTCAGTATGCATATACATAATAGTTACTCTTAAGTACTTATTATTATTCTTTGGTATATTATCTTTATGCAAAGAGATTCTAGACCATTTATTTAGATCGATAATTTAAGAAATTTATTTTCAATATGTCAGTACGTAGTTTATGCATTATCTCTATATAGAGAGATTAAGATTTTTAAATTTCTTGCACCGTACGTACGTACGTATTCGTTCAGTCTGTTCAGTATTGTTGGTAGCTTGACCACAAAAAATTTCCCGGAACGTGATTTTTAGTCAATTAGATCGAAGGATCATGTGTAACGTAAAAATCAAATTAAGCGAAAGATTTAAATCAATGAACCACATCTTTAAGGTTAGGAGTAAGGCCAAGAGAAGGGCGTGATTTATACCAAAATTTCGCAAGGAATTTTTTTGTTAGAATGCAGAAGGAAATTTCATAGTTATTAGTGATTTTTTTTGAAAAAAAATCGTAATTTTTACGTTACATTTGTCCTTTGATCTAATTGGCTAAAAATCACATTCCGGAAAATTTTTTGTGGGTGAGCTACGAGTGTTCTGTCAACAGTCTCGATAACATGCATCATTGCAATAATACATAATACTGTACGTATCAACGACACCAAGGCAGCATCTAGTAACCCGAACCTTCACCTGAAGTGAAAATTTGAGACATGTGATAAATGGGATTTCACTAACCAAACGACACTTCGGGATTTTATAATCTATATAGTCCTAAAAAGTCATTTGTTATTACAAATGTTAGATACTACGGCAATGGCACACCCGAACTTTGTGGGGCCGCCCTGGTATTGTCCATAATATCTCGATTGATCCATGATGTTTAATTATTTATATGTAAACTCACGTACATACGTACGTCATAGTGTATACCTAACTTTTATAGTTTTGTCAGGGACCTGCGAAATCTGTGATATATATAATTTAGCAAAACGTGTTTTCAATATCAGTAAATTATTTGATTTACTGCTGATTAATAAAATTACAGATTCAGTTACGTTTACTTATGTAACGATTTTTAAAAAAAGCGTTGCATTTGCTTCGATCACAGCAAATCACAAATTCGAAATGTCCCTGGTCGATATATACTGTATTAAGCTTTATCATCTTTTTAAATAGCTTAAATGAGAGAGGAAAGCTCCGTTAATTCAATTGGGTGTTATTTTTAGGTAGCGATGTTACCCAAACCAATCATCACATGGTTTTGAGTATCCCAACTAGTTTGGGTAACATGAGCAACCCAATTAAAAATATACCAATGGCGTAGCCACAATAATATAATGGACCTTTGTCGTTATTATTTGGAAATTGTGAATTTGTTGAAGCAAATGACGATAAAACTTGGTAATGGGAAATATAAAATTGGGAATAATTACGTAATTTAAGTCATTATGGGTTAATAATAATAATGGCAATGTCCGACTCATATTGATAGGTTAAAAAGATGATTCAACAATATATAAAGGCTCCCGCATTTTTATTCACAAAAAAATATATAAATTCTCAGCTTTTTTTTCTTGGATCAAATCGTTTTTTACGATTATCGCATTACAAGTCTATTAATTATACCACTTTAAATCACATATTTTCAAACATGACAAAAGAGGGTGTTAGAGAAAAGGTTGCGTTAATTGGATCTGGCAATTGGTAAGCCAAAATAAAATAAAATAAAATAACGAAAAAACCAACTATATAATATGTTAACCTCATCCCCTGCATTATAATTTCACAGGGGTACAGCGATCTCGAGGATTATTGGAGGAAATGTTACGAAATATGATGAATTTCAACAAGAGGTGAAAATGTGGGTCTTTGAGGAGATAATAAATGGAAGAAAACTTACCGACTTGATAAATGAAAAACATGAAAATGTTAAATACTTACCCGGCTTTACAATTCCTGAAAACGTTAAAGCTGTTCCTGATTTATTGGACGTAGTCCATGATGCTACAATTTTAATATTTTGCATTCCTCATCAGGTGTGATTTTTATCAAGTTATACGTACATTTTTAGAATATAATTAATATAATCTTATAACCATTATATATAAATGATTATTCCAGTTTGTGTTTGACATTTGTGATAAATTAAAAGGTCAAATACACCCAAGTACGAAAGCAATTTCTCTCATTAAAGGTTTTGAAAGCAGTGAAACAGGAATTCGCCCAATGTCACAAGTTATCAGCGAGTCTCTTCGTATATCAGTTTGTAGCTTAAGTGGCGCTAACATCGCTAATGAAATTGCTGCTGAAAAGTTTTCTGAGACTACTATCGGATTTAATGATCATGAAGAAGGTGAACTATTTAAAAAATTGTTTGAAACGAAATACTTTCATGTGGGTATTGTTGATGATGTTGTCGGTGTTGAACTTTGTGGTGCATTGAAGAATGTAATAGCCATTGGTTGCGGCATTGTTGATGGTCTAAAACTGGGCGAAAACACTAAAGCTGCGATTATTAGGATTGGCTTTTTGGAGATGCAAAAATTTATGAAAATGTTTTATAACGGAATCAAAGATGAAACCTTTTTCGAAAGTTGTGGTATCGCTGATGTCATTGCCACTTGCTATGGTGGTAGAAATAGAAAAATCGCTGAATCATTTGTTATTACTGGAAAGGTTATTATAATAATAATAATAATTCATATTACTATTTAATTACATTTTGTATACTAATAAATTTTGATTTGGTTTATATAGCCCTTTGACCAATTAGAGAAAGAACTTCTCCAAGGTCAAAAATTACAAGGAACGTTAACAGTAAAAGAAATTAACAGGGTTTTGTCGCGTGAGGGATTAAATGATGAGTATGTATTAATTATTACTTTTAATTATTAAAGTGATGCTAAGTGATGCCAACTAAAATATTTGTCGTCTATATATAGATTTAAATTGTTTACAACAATTTACCGAATTACATTTGAGGGCTTACCTCCAAAATCTATTGCAGAAAATATCATTTAATTTATTTATTTTTTATATAGATTATGTATTTTGCATAATAGCAGAAGCTAGACCTTATAATCATAATTGTAACATACCATATCATGTTTATTTCTTTACAAAATCCAAAATAAAGATAAAAACAATTTTCTCATGTACACAATAATTGGTTAATTATTTAATGTTCACTGACGTTTATCATGAAATAGTCAGAGGCGCAATTTGTATTAAGTGGCCAATACGTGATTTATGATTTTAACTGTAAAGTAAAATAGCTCGAGTATGGTTAATATAAAAAGTTATGGCTAGTATAAAGTGCAATTGAGTCGTAAATAATAACATAATTACGCTGCATCATACGTGGTTCTGAAAGCTTTTTTGACAAATCCGAAAGTTTCGAAATCTCAGAAACTCGCTTTATAATTTAATAAGTGAATTAAATATTCAAGTTATTTAGAATATCCAAATGTCATTTTAAAAAATTTGGAGTCCTAGACGCATACAAATGAGGAGATGTATATATTTGAAAATTTCTAGCCTGCAATAGAGTTCCTCTACCGCACAATATACGCGGTATTTTATTATTTCTGTACGCGCAACCCCTAATCAGCCAATCAAAGTGAAGGATCTGATGAGAAAAGACCTAGCTGCCCGCACCAATTCAAGACCTAGCTGCCGAACAATTTTGTCACCTCTTCCTTTGATAAAATAACCGTTTCCAATATTATTACGCAAAATGGAAAGTTTTTCAAAATTCAAACGGAAGAGGAAGGTTTAGATTGCCTCACAAAAATTCTAGAAAAGCGGAGAATGAAATTGTTGATATAAATCGTAAGAACCATCTTAAATCATTGCAGAATTTAGATCAGGTAATTTATACCACTTTGATATTCGTATATTTGAGAATAAAATAATGAATATTACGTCTAGACATTAATAAGTGTAATGCAATTGAAAAGCAACCTATTGTCAGCGAGAATCTCTTCTATTATATTTATTATAATTATGCTAAGACAATAATTCTAGTTATTTCCGATTAGGATGGATATTTGTGCAAAAAATAATGATGATTTTTTAAATTTTATTAATCCATCTCTTTTTTATAGATGTTATTTGTTAGAAACAATCTAGTGTCATTAAAAGATATGAGTTTTTATGGGAAAAGTTTGAAGAAGTAAATTGGAAATCTTTAAAAAATATCTATCTTTTAATGGATAAAATTAAGGTAATCAGTTATTTGTTTCTTTAAATTTTATATAAATCAACTTTGATTCAATTTTTTAGAAAATAGATATATTGAGGGTGTGGTGACTTAGTGAAGTGGTCAAGTTGTTGCATCCCCAAGCAGCAGGACAAGAGTTCGAATCCCACTGGTGATGAAATTCAAATTTTACAGAATGTGTTATGGCAGATTGTGTGTAATCTGATGGATCATTGGATCTGTAAACTTGGTTATATCAGAGGTTATTAGGAAGCTGTGAAACTGTAGTGTGATGCATAAGTTACACAAACCAGATGAAACAGCTGTGTAAATCCAGATATTGAGACACATAGAAGTTCGCTTGGCAAGTTCTAAGTAGAGAGGTAGCACAGATCTTTGACGGTACTATGTAAAAGGCTATCTAAGAAATCTAGACACCGATTTCAGTAATCTTAACAAAGATTGGTGTTTGGCAAGACACTATACCAACCAGGCCACTGGACGAGTAACCAGAAAAAAAAAGACCCAACTGTGGAGATCAGAAGCAGGCCAAAGCCTCTCCAGACTATCTAGATTGGGAGTTTAGATTACTGACAGAACTTAGATATTGGTGATGGTCTGTAAAATATATACTGGGGTTTGAGTGAACTTTACAAGTGCAGAAGTAGGTAACGGTAGTAGCTTCAGCTCGCAAGTACTTGTTCTCAGACTCAGTATAAGTTACCAAAGCCTAGGTTAGCTGGATTGTAGGTATAGAAAGCTCTAGCAGATTTACCTTGAAGACAAAGGGCTCCTATAGGTGAGCCTGTCTTAAAGTCCTAAGTCAGTGATCTGAAAATAAGGAGGTACTAATGTATTTTTGCTTAGTTAGAGGATTAATGTACATAGGTGCAAAAGGTTTAAATGAATAACTCAGTAGAGTTATAGGTATAGCAGCTAGTATAGAATTTTTGGGTGTTTACTTAAATAGACAATCAAAAGTTGCATATATGGTTAGTTATACTCTTTAAATATGTATACAGTATAGGATTCCATATAATCAAATAAAAGGACAGCGACCAAGAGATTACCTTAAATCCAAAAAAAAATAGATATACTAACACAGTTATATTTTCACAAAATTAAGCAATATAAGTGTTGATAAATTATCAAAAGATGATCTATTGTATATTGGTGTAATTAATCTTAGTTTAAAAAAAATATAATCTTTTAAAAAAAGATTATAGATCTATTGTAATATAAATATAATGTCTATATTTTTGAAATTGAAATTTCTTTTATAAAGTTTTCTAATAAAATCCTATATCTAAGATTAATTACTTTATATAAATTAATATTTATAAAAAACAAAGGTTAATATAAAAAACTTAAGTAAAGATGCTATAATAATAAATATACAGTATATAATAATTTTATATCAAAAAGTAAAATTTAATTATATAAATTTATATTGCAATTAAAAAATATAGTAATATATAACTAATAGATGTTAATTATACTTTTTTCAAAACTTATAATGACTATTTTTATAATTATTTTTAAATGTTTAAAAATTTTTTATTATCAATATTATAACTTTTTAATATTAAAAAATTAGATTTATTTGTTATAATTAACCTCATTTTTGTTTAATTTAAATATTTTTAATAGCTTTATAAATTTAAAATTTTACTATTCTTTTTTTTTTTTTTAATCTTCACAATATTGCACGAAGCCAGATTTTTATTAGGTATTTTAGAAAGTACATTCTTGGTTAACGAAAGTATATATAGCCACATGTGCAACTTTGGTCACTTATTTAAATAATCCACCTAAAGGTTTTACACTATATACTGTACTTGCAATTTAATTAGAGGATTACCCATTTAAACTCTCTGATGTTTTCTATTTTGTACTACCCATCACAATCATATTAGCATATAACCTCATATTGCTTTTTATTGAAGATCATTCAGATCAATATCTGCTATACTACTTGTGTTCTAATTCTATAAATAATCCAATAGAGTTTCATATTACTGGGTTGTTTTAGGGAGGATATAATACATATCTCCTAATCTTTTTATATCTTACACATTTTCAAATTAGACTTCAAATATCTTTTACAGTAACCGAAACCACCACTAGCAGTCAAGGCTAACTATTAAACTGCACAATTTTGGTATTTAGTGCCCTTACAAGGTTTATTCTGATCCCAATATCTACATCAAACTGGTTCTTATACCAATCCTTCCCAACCTACCAAATAAGTTAGCCTAGATAGATTGTTATATCTAGGCTTTAAGTGCTGTTCAGTTTTTATTTCCCTTGATTTCTAATTTTATAGCATAGAATCTTTTCCTCTGGTACGACTTTAGTGGTTAGATTGGTAGACCCTTCTTGCTTCAAGGTTTTTATTTAGTTTTTCAATTACTGATTTCTAGCTTTTCCACAGTATTGTCAAAGATCTTTACTATCTCCTTACTCAAGTCTTGCCAAATAGATTTCAATTATTCTAGTTCCTTAGATTTAGATTGCTCAAGAGCTTCCATTTTGAAATGATAGTACAGGTGATATATCCAACTGATCATTGAATAATTGTTATAAATACAAAGGCCTATTTTTTAAAAAATATATCTGGTGGAAATCAAATTTTAGACCTGCTACTTGAAGTGATAACTTAACTACTACTCTAAGTTGTCACACTCTTGTTATTTATTTTTTAAATTATACTGTATTAATTATTTAAATTTTTTTAATTTTTTTTTTTGCTTCAGCGATCCTACTTTTATTTTATATATCGGCAGTACATTACAGCAAGAATTCAGATGGCTAATCCTACTGACTAACTA